TGCCGAGAAGAGACTTAAATTGCGAGGATGCTATATTGATCGCCGCGGCTGAAGTAAATCCAGTGATCACCGGAAGTGATACAAAGTCCAATAGAAACCCTTAAAAAAAATACTAATTATATATGTATTGTTAGGAAAGAAATGCATATAGCATAGCAACAATATTTTTCTATTTATATAATATTTTCTAATATGGTATGTTCCTTAAATATATTTTTCTTTCTTTTTTTATTAAGTATATGTAATATCATAAATATACATACCTAAATGAAAAATTCCTAGAAGCGCAATAATACATCCTTTTAGAAATGTGATTAATATAGCAATGTCAGCACCATATTTTTCAACTAACGGTTGAACCATGGTAGCCATAATGGCTGTTGGACCAATAGTGATGTTTTCGCAAGAACCAAAAATAACATATATAAATGATGCCATAAATGCTGCATACAGTCCGTACTATAAAATTATAACACGCATTATAGAGAAATTAAAAGTACAATTATTTAAAAGCGTCATTTAAATAAATTAAAAATGATATACATATTAGTAGCAATATAAATATTATATATACATACAACTTATTAATGCAAGTGCAAAATTATTAAAAAGAATGTATCTTAAAAAAATATATCTAAATTTTATGCATATAATTTTTTGCATACAAAAAAGGTGTAATAAAATATTTTTTCGATATTATAGAAAATAATATTCTTTTAAGCATTTGTAATATCGACATATCGACATATATAATATATTTGTAATACATATCGACTTAAATTAAATAAAGAAAGATTTTAATTTTTTTTTTTATTTGTCAAGCGAGATCACCCCTATTCAGAAAAATTCTGTTTTATCCTTTTGATATGTAATGACGAAGATTTATCGTTTTGAGATGACGCGATGCAAGGTTTATGCAACGATCGTTTTCTTTTTTGTGATTTTTACCTCGGCATTTAAACCGGCAACGATACCGTAAGCGATGCCCTGCGGTACGGCGGTGAGGCCGACTGTGATGCCGGCCAGTGCATCCTGCAAAATCCACGTGGATCGATATCGCGGCAGCCAACTGAGAACCGGCAATCTTCGTTTAACGTAATCGTTGCATTTATTCTTCTCATACCATTTGGCCACTAAAAGCAAACTTGGTCTTATTTTCTCACGATATCGCAAGCAATATAGTCGTGGTATCTTGTGATATCAAGTAAAACTGATTTTAAAAATAATTTTCATGTTTTTTAATTTTTAAAGTGTTTTTTATGGAATTAAAAAAAAAATAGTTTGTCGAATAAAAATATTAGTTGTTTGATATATTAAATAAGTTTTGTTAAAAACATTAAATTTGTTATATTCTTTCCATATTTCTTCTATTGAGATTATTTCTTTTCTAAAAAGAATTATATTACATATTTCCTTTAAAGTTTCATCTTCTCTATAAAAAAAATTACAATTTGGTTAAACCTTTATTTAATTGTTTTAAGCAATTGCAATAATTTGTTATTAATTTAATTATTACTATATTTTAAATATATGCAAAAAGAGATATAATCATTTTATAAAAGATACAAATTCGATTTATTGTAATTTATGCATGTTAATATTATAATCACATTTGCTTACTTATCTATACAGTTTGTTAACGGCTATTAGTTCTTCCAAAAACAACAGGTTTTCATAGCAAAAACAAAGTATTTATTTAAATTTACTACGCGAATGAAGCAATAATTCCCGAATGCACACTAACACTACTATAGACATAGACTTATAGACGATTCCATTGACTGACGTTCCGGAATGTACTGACTTACTAACTGCACTCAGCTATACTGAAAACCGAGGTAACGGTTGCTAGATCATCAAATCAATATTATGTAAACGACTCGCATCACTATCACTGAATACCATCTCTTATTACAAAAATAGCTTGTCATTGAATTTAATCATTCGCGTCCGGCGACGTGACTGCCAAAAGTCACTGGAATGTTTTGCATCTTAAAATTTTTTTTGAAGTATCACAATAAATAGAAACTAATCCAAATCATAGCTTTATTTTCCTCATTTTTATATAGATCAAGCTATCGCTCTAATTAGAATAGTATTGTTTCGAATTTAGAAAGTATCGCGAAATAATGCGAATTAAAATTAATGTTAAAGTTAATAAATAATGTAATAGTTGATTAATTTTCAACAAATTCAAAACAAAAAAAAAACTGCAATTTCTTATTGTTGATATATTAAATAAAACGTATCCAAGATATACAGGGTGTTCAGAAATAAATTGACAAACTTTAAAAGCATATTTTACTCACTGTAAGAATGAAAAAAGTCACATGAACGTGGGTTTGGAAACGCTTGCTTTCCAAATTATAAACATTTTTTATTTACAAAAGACTTTGATAAGAACACTTCATTAAAGAAATTGTTGGAAATGATTTCCTTTCGCATGTCTTGCAGCGACGTTTCATATCAAAAACGTTCAAAAATTCCCAGAGTATTCCGTATTTTGCCACACGAAACAACAATATGATTTTGGACTAATAATTTTTATATTTACTACGATATACATCGATTCCAATTCCAAACAGACCCACTCGATAACAAATATTATTATTATTTACTTTTAATAGAAGGTGAATGGAAGGACAATCCATGAGACGTGGATGCGAGGCATGTCTATTGTAAATAAAAAATATTTATAATTTAGAAGGGAAGCGTTTCTAGATCCACATTCATATAACTTTTTTTTATTCTTACGATAAGTAAAAAATATTCTTGAAATTTGGCCACATATTTCCTAACATCCCAATATATACATATTATAATATACAATATATGTATATAATAGAAATTGAAAAAATCTCGAGAAACAGATCTTAGGTATTTATAGAAACTATCAAAAACAAGAACAAAAATTTATAATAATCTACACAGCACAAATACATTTTTTTCAACGCACTTTTCTAATAATGAATAGAATTTCTCACTCGCGAATCACCATATCAACCCAATCAGATTATGTATTCTAGCTATAAAAAAAAAAGTTCGATTGTAATATAATTATATTACTGATATAAAATCGGTTTAAGCGTATACTACGGAATATTTGCTGAGAATTGTTATGTTACATCGGAGATGTGAAACAACCGATTACGGAAACTCTTGTGAGACTGCGGGCTTTACGAAAGCGATGGTTTCACATTTCCCCTTCCGCCTGCTACTGTGAACGAGAACGCATCGGTCGTGAAAGGGGACATTTGTTATATTAAGCGAAACTCATGCTCGATTTTACTATGCACAATGAGATTATCATATTTTGATTATTTATTATGTAGTACCGGGCCGACAAATTAGAAATAAATATTTCAAATATATGTATCCTTTATTTTATATACATATAATAGAGAGAGAGAGAGAGAGAGAGAGAGAGAAAGAAATTTTAAATAATTAATTAAAATAATTATTTCTCTCATCATTTTTACACATCAACGTCAAATTTTCTCGTATATAGTTATTATAATATTGAAAATCAAATACACTGATATGACACCGATTTCTATCTATGTTTCAAAACGAGAACTCTCATTTGCTTCTATTTACCGATTTCTATCTTTGTTTGCTCGCAAAGGGTTTTCAACTCCATGTACGTCTCTCTCTTTTATCGCCATTCCTATTACTCCGATCGGTTCTCTACATGTACGCCAAACAAAACATCACAATGGTTGGTCAATGGTGGAATAGCAGAAAAATTTTGCCGTATAGATATCATAAATCGTACCGGAATACCGTTTTCTGGCTTGCTCTCTCCCTCGCGGGAACGACCGCTACGATAAATCATCGCGGCTTGCCACCTCGATCGCGAGATCGCGTTTCGTACACCACTCTATAGAAAAAGATCGCGCGTGACGAGAAACTCTTGATTTCTTTGTTTCGCACAATTTTTCTCTTTTTCGACGCGACGCGCCGCGACGCCGCCAAAGAGGGAATAAGAAAGCGAGCAACGGCAGAGGGTGCAACGCCTGCGCGACGCTGATGCCATGTATGTGTGTGTGTATACGTGTTTGCGGGGTGCCGACGATGAATGAGCCACCCGGTGCTACTCACATCAGTGCCGCGCCAAACAGCGAAGCTCATCGTCGTGACGCTGTCTCACGTTCAAACGCGACAGCATTGGCACATATCGTTGTATCGAGAAGGAAAAATTTGTGCAAATATTTCGAAACTGTCAATCGATTTGTCAGTCGTTTTGATCACACTGATATTTTTTGCTCGATGAACATAAAGTTTGAAATATACAATCGTACAATTTTTAAGACCTCTAAAATATATACCGGTTTAATGTCGCAAAAAAAAGGTATAAATTGCATTCATTCATTGTTAATTTGTACATTTATTTCTCTGATTTTGATCTGTTCAATTATCGATACAATTCTTTTTGAAACCATTAGAAAGTGATCCTGATTTTTTTACATATCATGAGACTATCAATTGCACTTATTACTTGCCAATTTATGTAATTGCATTAAAATCTTTCGTTGATGGGTAAAAATTGTGAGCTTTGTTAAATCGCTGATTAATCAATACGATATTCTGGTCAGAATTAACAAGAAATTATATTAATTAAATCAGCAAAAACTTCGGGACTTTGTCAAATAAAAAAATTATCAATTATTTTACATAGTTATGTCATGATTTTTAATCAATAGATACACACAAACTTTGATTACTTATATAATACAATAGTCTATTCATTTATATAAACTCTTTTAGAAACATTCTTCAATTTCTTTGCTACTTTTCGAAAAAGCATAGTGATCTTAATATCATAATTATATTCTTACTCTTACATGTATTAAAATAATGTGTGTTTGTAAAAGTGAAATATATATTCTTTGTAATCATTTATCGATCGATTTATTTTTTGTTGATATGTAAAATTTCTCTATTTTTGAAATTGTATAACAAAAACTTACAACGATTATAAGATTTTAATTTTTTTTACATTATGATATTATTTCATAGCTATACGTTTACTAAAACATTACGATAAATTTATCTCACATTATAGAAAACTGACATTGAAGTTTCGACAGTTTGAGATGTGACAAAAATAAACGATTCACAAGAAGCTTCAAATGAGAAGTATGTTGTTGATACTGACTTCGATATCAATGATATTTTCCAATAATGTGAAAGTTTTAACTTAGAAAAAGTGACTGAAAATAATAAAAAAAATATCGCAGTATTTTCAAGAGTCTCGGGTTATAAAAATGTCATGTCAAATGCCACATTATTGAGTCTACAAACTATTCGTATGAAATGGAAGATATCACGTATATAATCTGTCGTTTCGACTTATGTGCTACGATAAAATTATTTGTTACGAGTTTCCGGTGATTGCAAGGTCGATCAGACCGGACATGAAATACGTAGAAGACAGACTTAAAGAACCTTTACGTCCGAGAAAATAATCGTGTTCGAAGGACAATGCGCGAAACGTATAATCTTATATTACGTCATTAATCATTCTTTCTTGATATTCTTTCTAATGTGAACCAAAGTGTCTCTCCCGTGCAATTACAAAGTAAGAAGAGACTGCACAAAAAGAACTATCAATAAATTGATGCAAAGTTTGCATTATAATGACGATACACATAATCCCGTTTAATAAAGAGTGCGATAACGATGCCGCTCCATCGGTGTGATTATAGGAATAAATTTACACAAGAACGAATTAAATCGTTATTGCAGTGTGCATTAATGCAGTATACACCAACGAAAACTCGACGGATCTCGACGCGATAATAAGATAGTCGAGGAGAAATGAGGAGATTTTAATCTTGACGAGCGCGGTATGCTCACTTTATTTTATCCGCAACGCTATTTGTCGACGGAAAAAATTCATTAACGCGGCTTCGTCCATCGTTATTCTGCACGTCGCCAGAGCGAAGCGCATCGTCGGCAAATTAGCGAGACGCGCGGCAGATGGTATAAAAAACGCGTAAAAACGAGATTGTAACTGTCTCTCATTTTTCTCAAAATTTCTTCCTGCTATGAGCATCTTGATGTACATTGTCCAAAACGAATATCAAGAATCGTCGAGGGAAATTACGAAGCAAAATGCCGTAATGGCACGTACGGAGATTGATATTGCCCGTCAGGAAACGACGAAGTAAGTCAAATTGTTGAATAACTTGTAATTGGAATTAATATCGTGAAATTAGAATTGCTATCGATTTATTTCCTTTTCTACATTGTTAAGTAGTTTAAATCGATCCTTCTACTTTTACCTTTGTACATAATTTGAAATTCCGGCATTTATTACTACATGCTAGAATATAATTTCTTTATAAATCAGAGATTTTCTGTGTATGTGTGTGTGTGTGTGTGTGTGTGTGGTGTGGTGTGGTGTGTGTGCTCTCTCTAGAAAAATTTTAACGTGCTTCTTTTAATTCGTCGATCTAAAGGCTACCTTTTTAAAGTATGATATATATAATGATGTGTTATTTTTCGTGAAAGTTTACATACTTTAATCTTTTTGGGAGCGTAACTATTATTTTATTTTTTACGGTGTATATTACATCTCTAAGTACATAGAATTAGTTACAACTAGCATTTAATATTTACATATATTAAAAATATATCGAATTATATTATAAATTTTTTTAAATAAAGGATGTTAATTTTATGCTCTCGTATATTTAATAAATTAAACTTTATATATGTAAACTTTATATATATATAAACTTTATATATATATATATATATATATATACAATACGCAATAAAGGGGATAAAGATGATACAAGACAAACATAATAAAGAGAGATAATTTATCGATAGCATTTAACAAAAACGATTCTTATTTCTTATTATTATTTCTCGTTTTTATTTGTATGTATGTGTTTATATGAGAATAGAAATATAAAAATATTATTGTATATCCGCCTGTCAAAAAAGCAATGTTATTTTACAGAAAACCATTGTGTCATGGGCGGATTACTCGCGCTTTCGATTTCTTTAATGTCTTGTCTTTTTATTTCAGTTCTATTTCCGCAAAAGTTATCGAGTACAAAAAGTTTTATTTTACGAATCTGTTTTGTAAAATTTTACTTATACGAATCTTTTTAATCAATAGTTTATCCCCTTTAACATCGATAATTTGAATGGAGCAATTATTTCGATAAATTGCGTCGAGCAATAAAATGGAATAACAAACGAAAACAAATATATAAACAAAAAAACATTTTCCTAAATAATTTTCTGTATTATATTTTAATATATAAATACGGACGTACAAATAACTTTCTGTGCCATCTTTTGTTGCGTTGAAATTTGAAACACATACATTTTGAAGCATATTATTAAAAGGATTGCAAGCATTTATTATTAAAATGGGATAAAATAAAAATTTATTAAATCCGATTCTATGTGATAATAAAAGTAATGACAATATTGTTAATTACATTATTTCATGCCAGAGCATTGAATATCGTAATTAATGGATATAAAGCCGATTCACGTAATTAGTCCGCGATTTTATTTTGCCGAATTACATGCCATATTATTTGGAACCGAATTTGGAATAACACACAACAGGCAAGTTATGTTTTCAGATAGAATTTATGGTGATCGTTACGGGTCCGTGGGGATCATAATTTTCCTACAGAGTGGGTTTATCAGATCCTAAAATTTCTAACACCATTCGCAGGTTCTGTGGGAGGTTAAAGTGCGTAATTCGAATATTGGGGTAGGAATGTTCAAGACAGTCACATATATTTTAGTTTAATCTCACAGTATCAAAACAATTATTGTTACATTCACCCTTCCACGGCTGTTACAACTCTGCCGAAACATTACATCGCACATTACTGACACTCGTCAGTATAAATAAACCAAGTATAAATAAAAATATCATGCGTATTAATTAATATACCGATATTATATTGAGAGTATTTTTATAACATTTGACGATTTTTTATATTAATTCGAAAATTATCAAAGTATTTTATAGCTAACAAATCATTTATGAATTTCACTTATGAATTCTTGACTTTGTGTGTGTGATTCAAGCACTCTTCTTTCTTTAACAAAATTATTATAAAAAAGATCAATTATATTATATTTAATACAAGATTTTTTTTAATTGTTAAAGATTTTTGTAATTAAAAATTTTAAATTAAAAAATTTATTAATTATAAAATTTAATATAATAAATGTAAAAATTTAATCTCAAAGCTATTATATCTGTTTATATACATCCATGTTATTATAAAGAGAGCTATTTAAAGTTTCCATAAAGCTATCAAGTCATGTCAATTTGATTTATGCCAATCTGATCTGATATTGTTCATCTGTTACATGAAAGTTCATGTACTTTTCCTGTTAAAATCCGAATTTAATTCCAGCGAACTGGGAGATATGGTTATCCAATAGTATTCTAACTTTTACTCTCTTCACCACTTTTTATATGCTTTAAACTTTGAAACTTTTCTGCAGAATAATTTTAAATATAACTAAAATGTCTTGAAAATGAATAAGCGACGATTTATAACGCTGTTTTCTTTCAGACTTTTAAAAATAAACTTGAAAACACAACATATATTCTACTTATTTATTTTCATTTGTATATTGATATAATATTAATGTTTTTTTATATAATATCTACTACTGATTATTTATGGTATTTATTATTGATTAATTATTAATTAACAATTAATTGTGTGATATTAATTAATAATTTGAATTTGAATTGATAAACTGTTTTATAGTTTCTTCCCCCTCCTCCAAACACACGACATACAAATACACGCACATCTTTGTTAAAATATTTTTTTTATTTTTATCAAAGACCTCAAAATCATATAATCTTATTTTATAACAGAAAAATGAAATTTTTGTTTTAATCTTTTCAACAGTTTATTAGAGAAATAAGAAATGTATAGCTATAACTTTTCTTTTGATTCTAGATGCTATAATAAAATAAACAAAATAATAATTTTACAAAAAATTATAATAATAATTAAAAATTATTATATTTCTGATGTAATTTATAATTTATTCCTATTATATTTATTTTGTTTTTGCAAAATATTATATTTTATTTATTTATTTATTAATATTATTATTTTATATTATTATATTTATTTTGTTTTTGTAAAATCCTCTGTGTAATTAACTAACATTTCTAAATAATACGATATGACTGTTATGATTATGTAAATCGCTTTTATCGCATAGAAATGCACTTTTTATCTCATTCTTCTTATTTTTCTTGATGTCAAAGATTATCATGTGTAATAATACGTGAGTGATACATCGCAGAGTTTATCGAGTTGAGTAAACAGTAGATAAATTTTGACATTTCAAGTTCCATCGAATGGACAATTCGTTAAAACGTCAAACGTGACACGCCTTCCATTTTTTTTTTTCACATAGTGGTATAGATATCGCAGTGATTTACTTTTCGACTCGTATGACAAACAATGCTTTATACATCATTGAATCATTAAAAAAAAGAATAACAAAATTATCTAGCCAATTTTAATTTCCCAACAGCATTAAATTGAATCTTATTATCGAAATATTATATCGTCGACAGGTCTTATCAATAATTGTTAATAATCAGATAATGATTGATTATTTGCGTTATTAAATCGATATACTACATGAATTATTAGAAAACATAATTAGCGATATAATAATATTGATTCATAGATACTATTGATAACATTGTATCAATCATGCAATCTAAAATCTATTTAAAATTGCATACATTATATAAGTTATGCTAATTAATAATGTATATATATAATACAATATCTACATACATGCATGAAGACTATAAACTCATGTACATATTATTAAATATAATAATTATTAAAAACCTAACTGCTAGATCGTAGACATACATAATAGAGATTCCTGCATGTGTCACTAATCTTTTTTTACGTTTCTACAGTTTTCACTTTTTAAATTATAAAATATAATGACCAACGATATAAAATTGATAAAATTGTAAGAGATGTCTCAAGAAGATAAATTTCACTAACAAGATTCTACTCTTAACAAAATTTGAGACTGAATTGTCCGTGATGAAAATTTTATCCTAGAAGAAGGTTCTCGAGGGTCTAAACATCCAAGTATCCGAGGATTTTTAGGGATTTCACGGCCAAGAATGTACGTACATAAGAAGTAAATATTCAAGAGTCTCTAAAGACTTGGGGATAAAAGGATTCCGGAAGATCGAAGCATTTACTCGTCAAAAAAATTAAAAGCTACTTAATAAGTAGAATTAATTTAGTTGTGAAAAAACATTATTTTATTTGAAATGTAAATCGTATGTATATTTTAATAACAAAGAAAGAAAATAGCGCAAAAAAGAGGCATAGCATTAATATGTATTCAACATGTCCGCTATTTCATAAAAAATGAACATTATTGTTAAATAAGAAACCTTAATATTTCTTTTCAAATCCCGCTACTCTTTTCATCTTTATCTTTATAATAATATACTATTTGTTTATTATTCTAAGCAACTGAATCTTGAATAAAGTTTCTCCACGTATTTATTACTCGAATTAAATTTTCATTAAAAAAATTATAAATTGCTTTTAAAATACTAATATAGGCTTTAATTTTAATTTTATTGAGAAAATATTTGGTTGTTCTAAAGTTCTAAAACATCAAGCACACACCACATATGCATGTAATACATAATATTTTAAAAAATTTTTGCATTTTTACATGACGTAAAAAATATTAAAATAAATTTTCTGCAACATGCACTTTTTTTACACATTTTACATGGCAAATTTTACTTTGGCATTATTCACGGTAAATATATTTCTTGCCGAATTGCCTGAGTTTAGAATTAATTACTACAGCTAATATGCTTCCCAACGCGCCAACTCCCGCTTTGCTTTCCCGACTTCGCTTACGCCAGTTTTCCGCCAGATGAATTTAATTACATTACATTTTGGTGGAACAATTAGAATTCAAAGATCCACTAATTATCTTGGTACGACGCGCGATTAATTCCGCGTGTACGATTTCAATCATCTCTGAACAACCGTAAGATTTTGCGTGTTTCATGCAACGGCATGTTTTTGATTTGCATCTCATTACTGATCAAAAAATCTCAAAAGTACACACCGAATATCTATGCAATCG